CTCTTGTCAGGTTCACTACTCAGCAGTAGGATACTGTCCTTAGTCTTCTCAGCTACAAGAGTGTGGTGTGGTAACTACGCTTGTGGAGCCCACTGCTGCAGGATAATGGACATTCATAAAAAACATGAATAGCTTAAAATAATAAAGTATTTGATGAGAGAGTAAAGTAATATTTAAAAAAATTAAGCCATGTAAGGATGGGAAATACCATAACAGTGCATGTGGATGACATATAGTGCTTTGCTAACTTTAAGTATTTTAAATGCTAATGAGAAAGGAAAGACTGCTTCAGAGACACATTGGATAGTAGAAAAAAAACTGCTGAATTAAATCAGTCTGTATACTTTAAGGATGTGTTGACCTCTGAAAGATAACAAAGATATGTGTTACATTGGGGAAGAGGTTTTGCTTTTATTTCTACAAAAGTAGAAGGACTATGGATAGCATCAAGATTGGTAAAGATTAGATTCGAACCAGAGATTAAAAGAGGTGATAGTAGATCAGTGTGGCAGTTTAATCTAAACTAGCTCTCCCAGGACTTGATCATTATCTTAATTTTCTCAGGGTTCCCTAAAAGTGCTGTCACCCCCAATACAATGGGAAGTAATTCTAAGAACATAATACCCACATTCCCAAAAGGTGAGATGGGTGGTTTTGGGTTGTTTTGTGAATTATGGATGTTTGTCATTGTATAGTAGGGTTAATTACAAGTTGTTATTGGTCATGGTCAGGGAGGAAACTAAGCAAAGGAAATTAAATTCTGGGATCTTGTTTTGGAAAAAAAAAGGATAGGGATACAGGAATGATAGAAAGGTAAATTATTGAATCTTCTTCTAAACTACAAAAAGCAACTACTAGTCTTTATATTATACATTGGTATGGACTTTTGTATATTGATACAAATTTAAGGTTATTTTTACTATACTGTATATATGCTTCTACTCTTGTTTAAGATATTGTACCTATGCAGCACATTTAATGTAATATAAATTTTTACTCCTTGGAAGCTATTATTACAAATTATTTACAAACTATAAGAAATACAGGTTAGTACTAAAATATTGTGAAAGTATAACTAAATGATATTTTTCTATAAATTAAATAAAGATGCTTTAAATTCCTTCCTGTTGTGTCACCATAATTACACGTTTAAATTTTTGTTAATAGTAATTGATGTTAATTTATAAAAAAAAGAAATACAGGTTAGTAGTTAGTCATCTAACAATCAAATTTGTGACCATGTTAGTTATATTTTCAAATACTTTAGAGACCTACAGAATGTGGCATTTAAGAAGTTTTAATAACACAAGGCTTCTTATGACAATGAGACATGTCTGCTACTGACAGCACCAATTAACTTCAAAAAAACGAATGATGGGCATCAAAGAACCTCCATACAGATTTTTCTTTCATTGTTGCAAAGTTAGCCACTGAGAAAGGAACTTCCCTTGTCTTGACTGCTGACAGTATGTATCCAAATTGGACAAGCAGGATACAAAAGGACACTGCTGAACTTTGCCAAAACAAGGTTGGCAGTCCTTTAAAATTCCTGCTTCACAGAAAAGTCTGTCAGATATCCTAAGCCTATAGGTCAAAGATGGATGCCCAACATTATAGAGGAATCATAGGTGACTGTCCAGGCAGCCAGATGTCTCTGCCATTTCTATAGTTTTGGGAGTTGTTTGCTCTGTACATCCTGTTTACTTAGGTAATATTATATCCTCCTCAAGTTTCCGATGGGGATAGAAAGGAGATAGCTATAGTTACAGTTTTCCTTGTCACAAAATTCAGAAAAGAAACTCACAAAAGAGGTGTAATGTGTATAAAGTTGAGAGTCATAAAAGCTTAAATTGTTTATCTAAGAAAATGTTTGGAGATCTAAAAAGATAGTTCTGGGTTTGTAATATAAGTTAGGATAGAAAGTGAATTAGGTACAAAATTTACCAACATAGTATAGACAATGGAGTATTTTCTCTGAATTTGCCAATTTATAGGCTGGACATTGTGAATGTAATTCTTACCCAATAATTATTCTTACTGTTTATAGTTATACTGTGTTAGAGTTAAAATCTTCCCTTTTTATTTAGACAAAAAGGGGGAAATGCTGTTTTAAAGTCAGGACTAGCAGTTCACCCTTCTTCCTATACCCTAGACAGTGAGGAATGAAGGAATATACTAATGTTAATTCTGGCTCAGATGAGATATGCCAAGGTCTAGGCTTGGGTAAAGGTTGTGCTAGACTCCAGAGACCCAGAAGTGGTACAAACATGTGTTTCTGTTCATTCTTACCAGTAGTGAGTCTGTGGTACAGGCTTCCGCTCAGGTAAGCTTATTGTTTGCTTGAATGTGGACGGTGGGGGAGCAAAGGGGAAACAAGCAGTGCTTGCCACTAGCCCCTGTCAAACACCAGCAAAAGCCAGAGAGACTCTGCAGCTAGGACAAGATTGGATATGTCAGGACCTCAAGCTGTTTGAAGACACCAGAGCCAGGCTAGACTCACCTTAAGTTCTCCATAAGATTTTTCAACTTTAGTTTCCTCAGCTATAGACATCAAAACAAGTTAAAGATAAAATATACACAGCAAAGTATATTCTTTCTGAAAATGTTGTAGATTTATTTATAAAGGAGAAAACTGAGAAGGGAGATGGAGGCAGAGGAAGAGGAGGAGGAGGAAGGGTACAGGAAGAGGAAGAGGGGAAGGGAGGAGTAGGAAGAGACAGGTATTGTCTTTCCTGTCCACATAGCTCACCAGGGACAAATATATCCCTCAGCTTCACTCGAAGCCAAGGAATTGCCTACTGCAGTGAGGTTTGTGGAGCTAAGAGCCTCACAGAGGCTGCGTGCAAGGCCCCCACAACAGCGCAGAGCTTGGCCACCACTTTTATGGAAGAACCGTCACCATGAGGGAGCTCCGGAAGTGAGTGTCCTCATCCTTCCATCAACAGGCTCAATGGTGTGGGCAGGAGGACCCACAGTATGCAATAACAAATCCAAGAGACTCAGGTAACGAAAACTAGGCTGGTTATTTTCATTTCTGTGGAACTGGGAGCCAACCTCAACAAAATGGTGGGTATGCTGACTCAGAGGCCAGCTTTCATAATGCCAATAATGGGTGGCCCCTTCTCCCTTTCCTCATTGGCTGGCTAATGGTGGAGAGGGGAGACAGTATTACACATTATCTGCCACTCAAATTCATCTTTTTCTCAACAAAGACTAAGGTGAGGGTGCGGGGGCAGAATTGTTCATCTCTGTGTTTTTTACCCTGTCTGTTACAAAACTTATCAGAAACACGAGTTTTATCAGTCTGTGGTTTACTAGGCAAACGTTGCTGTTAATAATCTCTACTTGAACCTCTTAGTTTGAGTGGGGGTGGCTAGGACAGCAGGGGCCAGTGTTTTTTGTTCATCTGTTGGTAGGCTCCAAGGCACTTTTGTCTTGAAAATGGACATTTCTACTTTTTATCTTTACAATGGGCTCTGTGATTCCACAGAAGAGGAAGAGGTAAGACATTAGGCACTGTTTCCAAAAGTTCACACAAATAGGCCTTTTGCACTGGGGGAACACTAAGGGACTTCAATCTAGACAATAGATACAACTACAGTTGCTGAGGGAATCAAAGTGTGGGAAAATTCCCTGTTGCTCTGTCTTCAAAGAAGGGTAGGGCATGGCCTGGTATGGTGGTACAGTCAAGTTTTAATCCCATCACTCAGGAGACAGAGTCAGGCAGATCTCTCTGAGATCGGGGTCACCTTGATCTACCGAGTGAGTTCCAGGACAACCAGGGTTACACATAGAAACCATGTCTCAAAAACTGAAAAACAAAAAAGAAAAAAACAGGGTAAGTTCTGTGTGAACTTTACAACGCTCCATGGGTGGGGCTTGCTGCTAGCCCTAGGTCACTTCCTTGACGGTGGTGTTTCTCTTCCTAAATTCTGTTAGCTTACTCCATCCATTCCCCCCACGTACAGCTAAGCTTTTATGTCTTCAGAAGCAATGACGAACATTTAGGGAAAGGAATGAGAAGAACGAGAGCTCAAACCTGCAGAGTCATGTGTACCTTTCCATCTATGTATGTCCAATTATTTTAATTGCACTTCCTGAAAAACTGAGGCCAGCCAGTTGGTAGACTCTCAAAGGCTCATTAGAGCCCCAATATATGCAAAGACTTCTGGGAAGGTCATCATGTGGCTTAGGTTTTAGAATCTCTCCTCCAAAATTCTGGGATTGCATGTCTGCCACTCCACTCTTAGCTTGATATGCTTTTAGAAATTAATGCTGCTGTGTTCCACCCATCCCATTGAGTGTATGTGTGTGTGTGTGTGTGTGTGTGTGTGAGAGAGAGAGAGAGAGAGAGAGAGAGAGAGAGAGTGTTTGTGTGTGTATGTGTGTTTCATACCTGTGAAATGCAGACAATGGCCAAAGAAAGAACCGGGATGTTCTTATCTGTCAGTTAGCTTTATTGCCTTGAGACAGGGTCTCCCCCTGAGCCAGAAGCTGGACATTTTATCTAGGCTGACTGGCCAGGGGCTTCCAACATCTACTCATCTCTCCCTGGTGCTTGGGTCACAGGTATGAATTGCCATACCTGGCTTTTTACCTGGGTGCCAGGGATTACAACTCAGCTCTTTATGCTTACAGACTCTTACCTTCTGAGCTATCTCTCTAGCACAAGGTTCTAGAGACTTGATTCCTTGCCTCCCTGCCCCCTTTTGCCCTACAGGAGTTTGGGGAAAAATAACCATCTCTTTGTTTTTGATTATTTCTTATCTTGAGAAGCAGAAGTAATGCCATCTGCTGTTCCGATGTCCTGGGTAAGCTGTGAAAGGTAGGGTGAGGTATGTTCGAGCTCTACAAAGAGCTTATGTAAGTGTTACCTACAGAAGTCAAGGGAGGGAGGGCCATTAACTGCGTAGCAGATTTTCATTTCAGTGTGTCCATGGGTATTTAGTGAACATTGATCTCTCCTGTCAGAATCAAACACACAAGACTCTCAGGCCAGATTGCTTTGCAACTTTTATGTCATAGTGTGTAACCAGTTTCAGATGTGCAAGAAATAACACATTCATCCCTGAAACCCTTTGCATGATGGACAGAAGCAAAAGCAGGTGAAATAATAAATGACTTTATATTTCCCATCCTGCTTCAAAAAATGCCAACTCAGAGTCAATCACGTTTCATCGTTACTCTCATCTGAAATGACTTGTTTTTAAAACAAATGTGTGTGGTGGCAGTGGAGGCTGCATGAGTGTGATAGGAGTGAGTGTGTGTGTGTGTGTGTGTGTGTGTGTGTGTGTGTGTGTGTGTGTGTGGCGGGGGGGGGTGCTGCTTTTGTCTCCTGTGAGATGTCATGACACTATCTCTGCCATTCAGACCTCTTTCTTGTTTCCTGGAGCAGGAAGTTCACAGAAGCAGACAGGTGAAATCTCACACCCAGGGTGTAAACCAGGGCGAAGTCCTTCGTATCTCTGTGATTCAGTCTGGATCGGTTACTTTTCTTATCACTGTGACTAAATACTGGGTGGGAAGCAGCTTGAGGGAGGAAGAGTTTGTTTGGGCTCACAGTTTGAAGGTGGAGCCCATCGTGGTAGGGAGGCGACAGTGACGGTGTCAGGAGCTTGAGTCCCATTCCATCTGGAGTCAGGAAGCCTGGAGAAAGATGAACACCGGCGGTCAGCTGGCTTCGTCTGCTTTTCGTTTGTTTGTTTTTCCAGTCTGGGACTGGTGCAGCCCACATTGATGATGACTTTTCCTGCCTTGGTTAACCTATTCTAGAAACTTCTCCAAAGACTCACCCAGTGGTCTGTTTCTATGGTGATTCTAATCCCATCCAATCAAGATTTAGCATCAAACAAACGGAAAGACGGAGCATCCTAGTCTATCCATTTGTAGACTGCCTTAGGTGAGACCTAAGAGAGCTGTAGCAAAGAAAACAGATTGAAATACATAAAGCACGTGGGACTTGGGGCTTGGCCAACAGCTGGTTATTGTTGGTCAACCTCATGGTTCCCAATAGGTAAGCATCGTAGTGTTCATTTTATGGACTGCTGTAAGGATACATGGCTGTCCTGGGAATGGAGTAGACACTGGCTTCATTCATATTAGGGCATAGTTCCTTCGGGGATTTTAAAAATTGACTTAGGCAATATCCAGGTTTATTTATAAAGCCAGAACACATTATTCTCTGGGTATAATTAAGCACTTTAAGAGCCCAAATAGGAAACAATTAGTCACTAGTAAATGGTAATCTTAATAATTCTAGATAATTACAAAGGAACTTCCTGTGGCTCATCATTGGGGAGAAACAGCTTTTTCATGCAGCCAGGGGATAGCCTAAAAACCGGAGGTATATGGCGTTACACCAGGACCTTACTGTTTGTTTGCAAGCAGGATGGTATGGAGTGAGAGGCAGAGGCCAATCTCTGCTTCATTAATGTCTGCTCATTCATTTCAACACTTCCAACATCTCTATCCTGGTGACAGGTACCCACATCTCCAGGGACAGCTTCACTCTTAAGACCCTATGACATTCTCCCCAGAGTCATGAAATTATCTCTTAAAGAAACATCAATATTAGCATGCCACTTTCTGGCATCATGTATGTGTGTATTTTTAATTTAAAAACATTTTCTCAAGTCTGAAGGTAGAAAAGATTCTAGCATTAGGAACACAGCCACAAAAGATGTCTCTAAGTAAGCAGAAATGCTCAGGCTCCAGAAACTGAAACCCTCCATGTGATCCCTTGTAGATTTTTAGTTTGAATTGTCCCTAAGATTGCATTTTGAGTGCTTGCTTCCCAGCCTGGGGGTGCCATTTTGGGAGATGTTGGGATTTTTTAGGTGGGGCCTAAAATGGGTCACTAAAAGTTGGCATTTGAAGGGCACACCTGGCACTTCCTACCTTTTTCTCTACTTTCTGGTCTACTTCGATGTGAACAACCACACTCAACCGCTGCTCCCAATGCCACGAATGGAGCTGCTCCTCCATGCCTTCATCCCTGGGGACAGGCTGAAGCCACCAGCCAAGAATACACCTCTCCAAATGGAAGCAACATCTGTGAGGGTCACATCACAACAACACAGAGGTTACTAAGCCATTCCTTAACCAGTTACTCTATGGTGGGACCATAGGCAAGGTGCTTAGACGCTCAGTGAAAACTGTAGGTGCCTACTATTTGCTTTTTTCCCTAAGGCTTATGGTTTTTTTTTTGTAAATTTTGTATGTGTTTGTGTTGGACCATGTGTGCATGTGTACATGTGTGTACACGCTGGTGTCCTGCATGCATAGGTAGGCCAGGAGACAACTTTAGTATTGTCCCCTCAGGACCTATCCATAAAAGGCAGGGTCTCCCACCGAGATGTGGGGTTCCCTCATTACTGTCCAGTAGACCCCAAGTATGCACTAGTCTCCACCTCCCAGGGGCTGGAATTACAAGCATGTGCCATCATGCCTAGCCTTTGTTTCTAGTAATGTCAGAAGCTATAACCATAAAGTCTCACCAACATTTCCACCTAAAAATGAGCTGAACAAGGGCAATGCTACCAGACATGCCAAAACGGGGGTGGGGGGCAGCAAGAGGCCTCAACCCTACAACACTAGCCTTTAATTACACACAGATTCTAGGAACCGAACTCAGATCATTGTCCTTACAAGGTATGCATTTTATTGACTGAGTTATCTCCGCAATCCTTTAATTCTATTTTCAAGTGAAATGTCCAGGTTCATCTGCAGACCAGTAGCAAAATCAATCAACCAACCAATCAATCAATCAATTGACCAATCAGCATTTCCCTCTCAGGTTGAATTAGGTGTTCTCATCTGAGACTGTGCTGCTATGTAGCTGGGATACACAGGCTTCTACAATGTCCTCTGTGCTCGGGCTAGTACCCATGCTCATTCAATGTTGAATTATAAATATTTTAGCAACATCCAATCCTCCTCTCACCCTGATCCCACTGAAGAGAGTTAGCAAGTCTGTGAACTCCAGGATCAGAAACCTGAGTGTAAATGCTGACTGTGTGTTCTTAGGCAAGTCACTAAAACTCTACTGCCTTAACTTCCTGATTTATAGGGGTTGGAGAGATGGCTCAGTGATCAAGAATACTTGCTATTCTTTCAGAAGTCCTGACTGAGTTCAATTCCCAGTACTCACATGGTGCCTCACAATCATCTATAATTATAGTGCCATATATATGATTCCCTTTCCTTATGTACACACAGAAAAAGTAGTCATGTACATAAAATATATGAATACATCTAAAAAGGAATGTAAGAAAAAATCCCTGCCACACAAAGTGAGAACATAGAAGGTACAATGAGGAACACAGAAGGTACGACTGAGCAGCCACTGCTGAGCATCAAGCTCTAATGTGGTAGAAAGCACACACCAGTAAACGTTCATTATTATCTTTACAGTATGAGAAAAAAAGCTCAGAGACTATAGGTATAAATGCAAATAAAGACCCTTGTCCAAAGACAGAATTGAAGGCAAACACAACTACTGGAAATTTCATAAAAAAGAACGGTGTACACAGAAAGGAGGGCAGGAGAAGAGAAGAGGGTAGGGGAGGGGAGGGGAGGGGAGGAGATATTTTTAGGCTGGCAGAATGTTCTATCATGTGGATGGATTAATGTTGGTCTTGAAAATGCATTGGGTCCCACTGAGTTGAGTCAGTCCTCATGAGGGCAGGGTGTAAAGTGAGGCCACCCAGCATGCAGCCTCGTTTGCATACGACAGTTCTCTTTCCACTTTGCCATGTTGCCTTTGCCAGTACTCTGGTGCCATGAGTTGACATGGAAGACGGACTTCTGTCCTGTTTACTTCACTGTGCACAGTTTATAAATAAGTCCCTTGGAGACCGCGGTTGTTAATCTCCATGGGATTTAGACTTACCTAGGGGACTTGCTTCTGGGAATGCATATGTGGATATGTCCCCGAGGGCAAAACCCTACTCTTAATGTGTATGCATGATCCCATAGGAAGGGTACCAGCTGGAAGAAAACGGGGAAAAGAAAAAGCCAACTGGACAGCAGCATCCATCTCTTGGGACATCCTGACTTCTCAGCTACCTCATGTTTCCACCATGAGTTCCCTCAACCACCAAGCAAGTTAATTCTTCCCCCATTAAATTGCTTTCATCATATATTTGGTCACAGTGCTGAGCAAAATGACCGGCATAGGAAAGAATACAGATTAAAACAAGAACATGCACAGTGCCTGCTTGCACTGAGAGCACAACTCCCTTTGAGACAGTTCACACGGTGATTGGAGATTAGATGGCATGACATACTTAAAGTCCTTAACACTGTGCCTGGCACTGCTTTTAAATGCCAACTATTACTACCACCCTCTTGATGCTGATCTTTCAAACTTGCATCTAAACCATAGCATGGATTTCACAAAACCAGTCTGGGAGGAACCCTTCCTTCTGTCACCTCAGGGTCCAAAGACTTTGCCAAAAAAAATTATGGCAAATCAGGGTTCCCAGGTCACATGGGTAATGACTCTGAGCCATATTGTCCTTGGGTGAGAAACTATGATCTGCCACCAGATGTTGCTCAGGGACTGCAGGGAGGTTAAATGACATGAAACATTTGGGTATGTGGTATACAGTTAGTCCCCAGTGTGGAAACAGTGGCATTGCTGTCTTAGCCACACAAAGTTGTGCCCTCAACAATCAGCTATACTTTGAGATGATAAAAGAAAAGGGTCTGGATAGATGCTGGGGCTGATATTCCTTCTGCTGCCCCTAGGAACAAAAGTTAGCATCCTAAACCCCTTAAAGTCACAGTCACCATGAGGAGATGCTGCCTCCCTGTGGAATTTCACAGATATAGTTCTGAGGCAGCCAAATCTTCTAGCCCAGAATTTCAATGCCAAACCAGTCTTGGGACAATTCCCCAAGCTTCCTAATTGTTTAGTCCACATAGTATTAATATTCAAATCACATTGATTGCATCTCAGTGTTGTCCTACTTAATACAGCAAATCACAACACACCTGCCCCACTCACGGTAATCTGGGTTTCCTTTTGCTCAGCGAATTAATCGGCTATGTGGGATGTGTGTGAGAGAGTGTGGGTGGTGTTTGAAGACGAATAAGATGCGGAAGGAAGAATTAATCTTCTCTGATAGTCAGGGGTTAGAGACAACACATGCTAACATCCTGTCATGTAACACTTCAGGGTCAGAATTAGTTTCAAATCCTCCTTTGGAACCAGTCATTCTTATTTCCCGGGTCTCAACATGCTCATCCCTTCAATAGAGATAATGTTTGGGGCTGGAGAGATGGCTCATCCATTAAAGGGTAGGCTCACAAGCAAAAATATAAGATAATGTTTGGCCACTGAAAAGATTTTCTGGTTGTGTTATCCAATCACTCTCATTAAAACGACAACAGCCCAGCTCAACCCACCTCTCTCTACACTGTGGACCCCAGAGGGAGAGGTGTTTTGCTACTGGCAGCTTTGCCTCCCCTCAGGGCTCCTGATTTCTGTGCTGTGTAACTTGTCTGTGCTCCCACGTCCCCCTCTCTGCTTCCTGCTGCAGGACGGGGGTCTATGAGAGACTTCAGTACCCATCCCTAAGGAAGTTACTAAAGACAGAACATGTGTGACTGAATGCACGGAATGCTGAGGAACGGAGAAGGGAATTGATTCTCTCTTAGTCACAGTACAAGCAAGTAAATCTGCCTAGACTTTACACTTTATTAGATGCCCCTAAGTGTGTATTTATCACTGGGCCTGTCCTGCCAGGACTGTCTCCTTGTTGTTTTCCTCAGCCTTGCTCATTGCTTCCTTCTTAGATGCATCGGTGATTTTAGATCAGGAGCCTTCATCTTATATTAACATTGCAGTCACCTCTTCATTTCTGCCTGCTCACCTAGAGCCTCTGCATCAGAAGCATGAAGCCAAGAACCTTCATCTTTTGGCACGACAAAGCTGGTACACCGTCTAGAACATCCCAACTGCTTTTGGTTTTGTTTATTTTTGTGGCATTGGGCCTTGAACACTTTGCATATGTTGAGTGAGCACTCCGTCACAGAGTTTTTCAGAGGGAACTTCCCTTGGTAGCCCAGGATGGACCAGAACTCAATAAGCAGATCAAACTGATCTTGAAGTCACACCATTCCCCCTGCCTCAGCCTCCCAAATGCTGAGGTTATAGACATGTGCTATCACATGAGCTTCTATCTCATCTCTAAGTTAAACCTAAAGTCTGGTGTCTGGATCCATATTCCGTTTGCTTTCTATATGAGGAAGGAATAGGGGGAATATTTCTACTGACACTGTTTATACACTACTATACTTAGAAGATTTCCCACCCACTCCAAACAACCCCACCCACCCTCTTTCTTCCACAGTAGACATGCTGTCCGGCTCACAATCCATGCTGAGCAATGGCAGAAGCACTAACTACTTTTGTTGTCATGGTGACAGGTACCTGGTGGAAACAGTTTAAAAGAGGTAGCTCCCCGTCTGAGAGAGTACAGTGCGTCATGAAAGAGAAGGTGTGGCAGGGGGAGTGGCTGTGGCTGCAGGAGTGGGGATGAGGCAGATATTTCTTACCCACATCTCCGTGGACCTCACTTCCACTAAAGGTCTCCGCAACCTCCGCAAACGGCATCACGACGTGGAGATCGCCAGTGTTCAAACACAGAAGCCCATGAAGGGCATATCACACTTAAATCTTTCCAACATGTGAATTTCCCCCAAGCAGGGCCTGAGGCAAACACTTGGCACAGGCTGAGAGGGGCATCTATGTTGACATTAGCGGCAAAAGACTGAATGGCAGTGGCAGTGGCTTCATACTGTTCCGCTGATGATTCTTCCGGTCCTTTAACTATTTCTTTTCTGTTCTGGCAAAGGAGAAGGAGCGCCACCTACTGTTAGCACTTACCACATGGCAGACAGCCCCCATCATCTCCATTCACCATGGAGAGAGCTACAGTTTTCCTTCACTCGGGGCCAGGAAAACTAAGACCAAAAGGATATGCACAAGGTCATTCAGCCACAGAGGGAAACAACTGCATCTGAGATGCTCATGCAAGAGGGAAGGAGAACGCAGTCACAAATGAACAAAAACCAGCTACATTTGTGGCAGAATATTCCAACCCAGAGGATTCAGAGGTCCCTAAAAAGGGCTCCAGGGTTGTTGATGCACTCTGCAGAGCCTGTGCTTCAACCCTCCCTCCCACTTTCCCTAACGACCCTTTTCAGATCCCCTTTCCATCTATGCTGTTTGCAATAACTGAAACTGAGAAGCAGGTGGTATTTTACAGAACTGAGTCCAGGGTGGGTCCATTAAACAGACAGAACGTGGTCTAGGAATCAGAGGGGCTGTGAGTTGGGAGTATGTGAATTGGGGGCCATGAGTCAAGGGGGACTGACTGTAAGTCAGGTGGGCTCTAAGTCGGGGACTGTGAGTTAGGGATTTGTGAGTCAGGGCCTGGGAGTCAAGGGTACTGGGAGTTAGAGAACACCTTTGTTAACCTTTAAGCAACTCCTCATTACTCTTGCTCAGTTCTGCACACACACACACAAACACACACACACACACACACACACACACACACACCTGTTTAACCTCCCCATTCCGAAGGAGGGGGGCCTGCTCCAAGTGGTATTTGCCGTTTGCCATTTGTCCATGTGTCTGTGACTTGAAAAACCACAAGAAGCCTTCTGATGGACCCAATCTTGAATCAGTAGATGATGCTGTGAGTGTGTGTGTGTGTGTGTGTGTGTGTGTGAGAGAGAGAGAGAGAGAGAGAGAGAGAGAGAGAGAGAGAGAGAGAGAGAACAAGACACTCACTTCGTAAGAGAACTGGAGACTCAGAATGCTGAAAGTAAAGTAGTTTATGACCTTGTAAACTCTGGTGTCAGCCTAGAGAAAGGGCAAAGGTGGCTGGTGCAGGGGTTTAGCACAAAACAGTATTTTCTTATGTCCCAAACTGCATTCCTCTGCCCTGCTGCGTTCTCACTGGCTGAGCTCTTTAGGGAGCCGATCTTTCCGGTGTCTAGCGTTGCCTGGCCCTGAAGTTCCATCCCATTGGTTCAGGACACTCAGCCCCATCTACTGCATATCTTGGGAGCTGCAGCTTCCTCCTTTTCTGACACACGGGCTCAGTCTTGTAGCCGACTGCCTTTACAGGGATGAACTGAGAGTGCCTACACAGCCCTCCACCTACGGAAGGTAGGGCGCTAGTACCTCCTGCATCCCTGCAATTATTTGATGAGTTCTAAATGGCTAAAATTAAAAATAAACCATACGTATTCAATTCTAACAGTTCCTGTGTGCATTCATGTGTGTGTTAGCACACATATATGTGTACCTGCATAAGAAGGTCAGACATCAACCTCAGGTGTTGTTCCTCTTGTTTTTTTGAGACTAGCTGGCTAGCAAGCCTCATGGATCTGCCTATCTCCCCTCCTCAGTGCTGGGATTAGAATTACACTCATGCACTCTCACCTTTTTTGTTTTTAACATTGGTTCCGGGACTCGAACTTCGAGCTTGCAGAGCAAGCACTTTACTGGCTGAATCATCGCTGCAGTCCAGCAGGTGGTTTTATTTGTATAACTTCTTTGCTTCTCAGTTAACTTGTCTTCTCAGTAGCTCTATTCTCGACCATCCGCTGGCCCTCTCATGAGTCATTTGATCTCCATTTAGACCTTGCTTCCACTTGGAAATGTATTGTCTTTTACAGCCACCGAACTTCGTTGGTCTAGCCCAGGCTCTCCCTGGAGTATTGCGTTTCTGCTTGTGTGACAGGAGCCAGGCTTTTGTGACCCATTCATTTTGCTGGGTTTATATTTTCTTGTGTCTTTTCTGGCTTTTCACTCCTCACTCCCCTATTACATTTTGCAATCAACTGATTTTAATCTTCCTGGCTGTTTCACTGGGCTTGGCTGGGCCCTAGTTGATTTTCTCTGTTTAAGGGTTTATTTCTCAACATGTTTTGCCTCTTCTCCCTTCCTCTTAGATGTTGCTGAGGAGTGATGGCTTTCAGCCTCCTAGCAAGCTGCTCCACAAGGGGGAGTGACCACATGTCCCCATTTGTCTCAGAGAGCCTCTGTTTGGCTTGCTGTTCTGAGGTCCAGTCCAAGAACTGTTTTGAAATTTTTTTCTCTTAAATGATAAGACCTATTTGAAAGTGCATTTTTCTCAGAGCTGGGGATGGCTCAATTAATAATAAAGTCCTTGCCTAAACAAGCATTAAGATCTGGATTCAGATCCTCAGCACTCATTTAAAATGCCAGGCACAGTGGACTAGAACCTTAGCACTGAGAAGGCACTGACAGGCAGCTTCTTGGAGCTCTCGAGTCAGGTGATCCTTCAGGCTCAACAAGAGATGTGGTCTCTGGGGAAACAAAGGAACAAACAAACATGGAAAACAAAAGGGGAAGACACCTAACAGTGACCTCTGGCCTCCACGTGCACACATGTGACAATGTGCTCATGCCTCTTAAGCCAGCAAGCTATGCTTTCACATACTTGGACTCCGTGGGTTCTTGCACAGGAAGTGTGTTCTGGCACGTGTTGCTCTCTGGGTTGACCTATAGCCTGGGAAAGGCCTCTGCTTTGCATTTCCTCTCCCGAGGCTGCATTTAACAGTGTTGTTGACTTCTCTTCTAGTCAGTCTCCAGCTTGTGCCTAGGCATCCACGTGGACTGTTCCTTAGGGAAGAACACGAACAGGCTGGAGGTGAGGAATGAGAAATCCGGGGGAGAGAAACAGCATCAGGCCTGTTCATTTTTTTAGACTAATGTTAGGAGATTAAAATTGCCAAGTCCTAAATGTTGACTCAGGATTTTTCATGAAAACAGGGAATGAATCCTGGAGTTCCCTCCCTCCACTCATGTTCTTCCAAGAGCTTCAGATGGCTCACATGACCTTGATCACAACTCCAACATCAATTATCCAACCATAGGCAAGTGGCCATAAATCTCTTGTCGGTTTCCTTTGACCACTTGAAAATACAAATAAATATTTGATCTCTTGGAATTAAGATGAGATGATGACTGTACAAAGCTGAATTTAACAAATACCACTAAGTACAGATACTAAAATGGCTACTTCGATGTTCTGTGAATTTCATTTCCAAAGACCAGGTTGCCAGACTCTAGGACCCACCTCCCTACCCTATAATGGATACACCATAAATCATGTCCCCTTATTATTCCCATCTTCCTGCAGCCCAGGGAACCAAGAGGAAACTTGACTATATGTCACCCCATTCTTCCTCTGAGGCCTATACGAAGGGCTCCCCACTCTGCCTCAGGGCCTGAAATCTCCTTGAAGCCCCTGCTCTGCTGCTCTCTGCCTGTGTCTTTGTCCTTGGCTGAATAAATAATAAACTTCTACCCAAAAGGACAGTCTGCTTCAGTGTCCCCATTGAACCCCAAATCCAAGACCTTGTATGTTAAGGCAGGGTAGTCACAACAGCTATCAGCATGCAAATCAAAGAAGCTCGGAGCATAAGTCAGGGGCAGAGTTCAGGCTTAGTGTGTAAGAGACCAGGGTGTGTGTGTGTGTGTGTGTGTGTGTGTGTGTGTGTGTGTGTACATTCCCACACTTAGAAAATGTCATCCCATACCTTAGTACCTTTTGTACATCTTTGCTGTCTGTCTCTCCCTCCCCTCACCCCATCTCTGATTTCTATGTTCTTTTCTTTTCTCTGCTATTAAATAAATATATTTGATTTCGTAGCATCTCAGCAGTAAAATGTAGAAACTGGGACCTCTCTTGGTCATATGAAGGAATGGGTCTTACACCCTCCCCCAGCCCTCTTTTTAATTACTCATTTAAACAATGTCTGATGTCTCCTTTATTCAGTGGAATGAACTGTTTGACAAGGGGGGGTATGGCAAACTTTACTTTAACTGCAAGCTGTGACACTTTCTTTGCATGGAAACACATTCTCCCAGAGAGGCACTTTGAGTGATACCCAGCAACCCATCATTGTCCCCAGTAAGTCACTCATGCCTTGGGTCACGTTTATCTTCTTATCGTGAAAGAAAATGATGTGTTTTCTAAGACTGAGGGCCCTGGAATCCTGTCAGCAGGGTGCCTGTTTGAAGAACAAGAATTTGGTGAGAACTGTTAGTCTTGGGAGCCCTCAAAGAGCCCAGTTTCCAAGATGCACACAGTTTTAAACAGAACCGAAGCATCTGGGCATAGGAAGATGTGGCTGTTTCTTCAGGCTGACAGGCATCACTTTCCCCAGAGAGACTGCAGACAACATTATTTCTTGAGCTTACATTACTGCTGGCCATCAGGCAGAGTCTGTCATGTCCTTGGACTGTTGAGACAAAACAGTGCTGTTCTGTTTGAATCAACACAAATGCCACCTGGGAAAACTGTCCAACTTTGTAGTTTCTCTTTCCCTTGGCTTGTTTTTTAACTGCTGCTATAGAGCAGGCAACTGGGATGAAGGGTAAGAAATCTGAATTTAAAGATGGGCACCCTGAACTCATACTCAGGCCATACAGGCCAGCTCTCAGTCTCCCTGTGTGGTGGTTGTCAACCGAAATCACACATGACACGATGTCCGTGAAGATGGAGAACGTTGCTTGTCACACCGAGTAAGAAACCCCACCTGCAGGTGTGGGTAGATTTCTCTCCAAGCGGGTGGGATTCGGGAGCTTTCGGAGCTGTGGTGGGTGGATGCGCAGCCCTCTAAGTTGTATGGACCTTCACCCCCTCCTGATATGCTTCATTCTTTATGAGAACTGTCTCAAATGAATGTGCTTACCATCACAGGGGAATCCATCGGCCCGTGCCTGGCCAATCAAATCACTCCTTTGGATTTTGTTTTATTTCAAATATTTTTCGTGCATCCATATATTCATATCTTAGAGGTTTATCTCATCTTTTTAAAGATCTTTTTGAGATGTATTTCTTTTGATATTTTATGTATGTGGGTGTTTTGCCTGCGTGGATGTATACCATATACATGCATCAATACATGCATGCATCAGTACATCACTGCTCAAGGAGGCCAGAAGAGGGTATTGAATGCACCAGGACTGGAGTTACAGACTCTTGTGTGCCACGTGGGCTCTGGGAATTGAACCTGGGTCCTCCAAAAGAGGGGTCAGTGATCTTAACCACTGAGACTACTATCCAGTCTTACATATTCATATTTTTTCTATTGTCTACTCTGATTTTTATGGGATCTTTTTTCTTTGAAGACTATCATGACACCCATTAAAGGTCTCAGAATGAGTCACACTGACTGTAGGCCAAGGACTTATTAAACACTTTCAGAAATGTTTGCTCTGGGAAATGTGTGCTTTGTTTATTGTGCTCCCTTTGTGCTCCCTTTCCCCAGAGGGGAGGTAAAACAATTAAAATGTAAGAGCTGTCATTTGGGGTAGTCTATTAGAGGATAAATACGCTGGAATCAGAAGATTTCTTCCTGTTGTCTCCTGTTTATTTTCTGTGTGCCAAGCTCTGGACATTGGCTACTTGACTCAACATACTTCTCCCCTTCACAAATGGATCACTGCAAGGGAAGCTCACAGTTTCAGCCAAGCTGTCCCACCATGGAGATGGAGCTCCTAGGATCCAGCTGTCTCCAATACTGGGACATAAGTACTGAAACCATTGCCTGGCTTTTTGCATAGGTGCTAGGAATTTGAATTCAGTTTCTCATGCTTGCACAGCAAGTATCCTTACTTACTGAACATCATCCCATTGCCAATGATCGTGTGTGTGTGTGTGTGTGTGTGTGTGTGTGTGTGTGTGTGTGTGTGTACACACATGCACCAAGGTTCACACACGGAGGTCAGAGGACAACTGGTGTGAGTTGGTTGTTTCCTAACATGTGGATCCTGGGGATCAATCTCAAATTACCTGGTTTGGCAGCAAATTACTTTACTTCTAAGCCAATTGTCACCCTCCTCCTTTTAAAGTTAGGTCCTCGTGCTTTTCAGACAAGCACACTACTGACGGAGCCCCCAGGGTCCACCTTTCCCTGAATGAGGTCTCTAAGCAGGGCTCTGGGCAGCTCCTAGGGCTTCTGGCAGTTGTGTTGGACAGAGTCCCCTGCTCCTGACAGCACTTGCACACAGTCTCATGTTTAGAAGGAAGCCCACCCCCCACTTTGAGCCCTCATAAAGACAAATCTGAAGGAACTTCCCGAACTAAAGTGACTCAAGGGAGTCTGGGAGCACGCTGACACAGGGGAAAGAAGCAGACACTGGTCCTCTGATAATAACGGGCTGCTATGGACAGCTGAATGAAGTAATTTAGACTGCAAGCCGCCACCTGCCAACCTGTCTCTTCACTCACTGCCCCACCTCTGGAATAACAGCGTGAAAAACAAGGGCTATAGCATAATTACGAGAGGAGAGAAGACTTCTTCCTACAAGGCACGGAATGGCGTAGTCCTCCAAGACATCAATCAACACAGACAAAATCCCAGAAAAGCACCAGTCAGTTAACTGTTTAGAAGTGGCCATCTCTGACAGCCCTTGCTAGATCCTGGGGCTACCACAGGGGAAAGATATGTAACATGTGGTGCTTGAAATCCAGTGAGGTAGTCAGACTTGGAACAAACCAAGAATTACATACATGATTAAGCTAGTACACATATGCACAAGGCTGCATACGACTCATCCTTGCTACATTTGCTAATGACAGTCCCCAAAGCATAATCGATCATCATTATATGAGTAATCAAGGCCCCAAAGCATAATCGATCATCATTATATGAGTAATCAAGCTGTTATCTCTCAGGTCTAAATCCAGTCCTCTCTATTCTGTCCCTGTGGTTATGCACAAGATAAATTTCCCAATCAACTTTGTCGGGGTTTTCCTGCTGGGTTCTGATCCTGGGAAGCCTACGATGGGCTTGGAAGGCAGTAGGCATGACAAGTGGGAGGCTTGGGAACAAAGGCTCTGGCCCCTGTGACTGGGTCACAGCACTAACATTTTAGCCAAGCAGCAGGAGCCAGCTCCACCCTGGAACTCCAGTGTTCCCAGGGCTAACCCTGAGCCTCCTCACAAAACCTTAGCTTACCCCCTCCTGCCATATGCACTCCTAAATGTCGATGACCTCCAGCTCCCTCCTGGAGGGTCTGTGGGTGAATGTGGCTGTGTAAGGTCTCCCTCTTCCATGCACTAACATTCCACTAAATCTCTGTTTAAATGCCTAGGAGCGTTTCTGTTCCCTCACCTAAGTTCTGCCCTGGGCACCTTGACTTTGAGTCACGCTCTGCCCACAAAGAGAAGGCCAGTGATTCTTTCAGCTGGCCAAAGTAAAGAGACCAGTTGGGGCTGGCCCTCCTCTTTAGGGTAGCCTGCCTCTTTAGGATGGCCCTCCTCAGAAGTCAGAATCTGGGGGACATTGGCTATAGTATCCGGAGAGAGAGCAGAAGTCTCCGAGGAGTCCATGCAGGAAGGGAGAGCTTCTTATCCAGTGGGAAGGAACCAGAACACAGGCAAACATGAACCAGGCAGGATCAGAGTCCCGAGGCTGCTGTCATGAGTTACCACGAGCTGATGTCTTCTGACAACAAAAAAGATTCTCCTAAGTCAGGAGGCCAGAGGTCTGAAATGAGGGTGTCATTGAAGCGCCATGTGAGTCTCTAGAAGAGAGTCAGCTCTTGCTCTCCCATCGACTCTAGACATCACCTGATTATGGCCCTGCGACTCCAACCTCTGCTTCATCTTTATGTCAACTTCTCTTTCTGTGCCTCTTATAACACACAAGAATTGTGACTGTGGTTGGGTTCCCCTGATTGACACTGGAGGACAAGAGTCTACAGTCAGTGTGTCTGGAAAGAACCCAAACCGCACCAGCCGTCTTGTTGCAGTGATAGATACTCTTGACCTCCATTCTGATCATCCACTGACATCAATGTCTGTGTGCACCAGGTACCCACACCGTCCCATGTGATCTTTACTAATGAGAGAGAGAGAGAGAGAGAGAGAGAGAGAGAGAGAGAGAGAGAGAGAGAGAGAGAGAGAGAGAACATGTCCAAGTCAGACGACAATTTTGGTTGTCATCCTCAGAAATGCTCCCCTCCCAACTCTTTTGGGTCAAGGTCTCTATTAGCCTGGAGCCTGAAATTCATCTAAAATGTCTGGCCGGTGAGCCCCAGAGTTCCACCTGTCTCGGCCTCCTCTGGTTAGGGTAGAATTCAGGTCTTGATGTCTACAAGGTAAACCTTTCACTGAGGCGCGTCCGCAGTCTCTGCTCTGAAAAATCATGTGAACGTTTAGGGGTGCCTTAGGAACAAAAATCTGTATAGTCACACGACACGCACAGCTGTGTACTATCAAGGGAGCTCAGAAATGCTGGTTTGTGCCTTAGGAAGCCCCAAGCAAAGAGCCAGCAGCCTCATTAATCTCGGTTATAGAGGAGCTGAGCACGATAACGGAACCACACAGACTGCTTCCGACACCTGTTCTTCCTCAAGAAGCCAGTGCAAATTCAGGAACTCTAGAATGAATGAGAATGCTGTTGGGGAACGCATTGTGGCGGTTGACTCCAGGGATGACAGAACACAGAGTGTTATTGAAGCCTTGTTAATCTCACGACGGGGGCGGGAGGGGGCGGAGAGAATTTGCTTTCCAACTCAGAGACAGCAGGAAGGTGGTAGTTCTGGGAACTCACGTGGCTTTCCTCAAAGAAGAGCGATCTGCAAGGTCTTTAGTCACAACCTAAGGTTCTGGTTTCCTGTCTGAACACCCATGGCACTGACCTTCACGGTTTTGTGTTTGATGATATCCACGAAGCCCTGAGCCGCCAAGGACAGCATCCGAAGCACTAGACTCTGCAGTCAGCAACAGCTCTTTGACTGAGCAGCCGCTGAGCATATCTTACTTGTCAACTTCGATTACATCCACATGGAGCGAAGAGCGAGTGCTGTGAGGGGCACTTGACCAAGAAAATTAAAGCAATTTAGCTCTCATCTGGTAAACTGAGGGGAGGGCAGGCCTCCAAGCTGTTTCATTTGCTGATTTTACCCCATGCAGATGGCTAAATGATAGGGATAATCATTTTTTAATGGAAACTTTTTTTTAAATCGGAACTGGCATTTCTTTTGCACTACAGAGAATTCATTTAAGAATTTTGATAGATTTAATTTTATGTACAACTAATTAATATTCAAATGTAATCCCAACCCTAATTTCAGGTTTTACAGGAGTTTTAATAACTGGAAATTTCAGCACAGAGTTTCACGCATGAGCCTGAAATTGCAATTTGAATATTGGCCAGCAGGTGGCAGTGTCTGACAAAGGGTTTTATTGTAATGTTCTGCCTTCTCCCTTCCCCCCTCCTCGAATTCAAGTTTTAAAAAATCAATATGAATCGCTTATTTTTTACTATTGCAGAAGCGATTGGGTTCAATCCTTTGGAAAATAAAAAATATTTAAAACCAATTCTCTATCCCAAATTGATTTCAATAAGCCGGTATTATAATTACAGATTAATTTTTGATAACTTAGATGAATTTGTACTGATGAGAATAGTTTTATTTCTAGGTGTGTGTGTGTGTGTGTGTGTGTGTGTGTGTGTTTTATCACTCTCCCCTTATGTTTTTGAGTCAGAGTCTCTCACTAACTGTAATGATTTGGTTAGACTAGCAGAGCTGCAAGCCCCAGGCATCTCGCTATTTTTCTCTTTCCTGGTGCTGGGGTTACAGGCTTTTAATAGTGGGTGCGGGGGATCAAACTCAGGTCTTGTAGCTCTGTGGCAATCACTTTAACAACACAACCAGCTCTCCAACCCTAACAATAGCTTTTATTTTTTTAAGCTAAACTAATAGGGGTGTTCTTTCAGTCTTTCTTGCAGCATGAATTTCCAATAGCGTCATCATTAGATCTTGCTGTTATTTCAATTCAATTAACTATTAACGTTTGCCAACGAAAAATTCCACTGTTTCTGCCACAAATCCCTCTCATCTTCCTTTCTTTTAAGAAATTAGTACTAACAGTCAGGCAGTGGTGGCACATGACTTTAATCCCAGCACTCGGGAGGGAGAGGCAAACAGATCTCTGTGAGTTCTAGGTCAGCTTGGTCTTCAGTATGAGTTCCAGGAGAGCCAAGTCTATACATAGAAACCTTGTCTTGAACCCCACCACCACCAAAAAAAAAAAAGGAACAAAATACTAACAAAGAGAAAAAAACTTTAAGCTTAGGTGAGGTGCACTTGCCTGCAATTACAGAACTTAGAAGGCAGAGGCAGGGGGATGACTGCAAATTCAAGGCCAGTCTGGTCTTCCTAGAGAGTTCCCAGGCCTGCCATGGCTACACACTGGGAACCTGCCTAAAGGTAATATTTTTTCTTTCTTTTGAGAGAAAAATAAGAAAGAAAAGAAAGGGGAAATATTATCATTAAAAGGGAACCCAGAATCTGCATTAGCTCTGAACTAATTAAATCTATTATTTTGGCTGTAACCCCAGTTGTATTTACTTTGAATATTACAGTACTTTGACTCTCTTTTCATATTGACTGTCCTCTGTCTGTCTGGTTTAGACGGTATCTTAGAAACTGTGCCTATGTAAAATGTTGCATATCCAATGTGCACGCATGTTACAAAACGACACCATTTCATCCAACATATGACTAGCTTCTAACCCACAGAATATCAGAGTCATGGGCTGTCACTCTTAGGATTATGGTGCATTATGTAAGACGGCACTTAGCAGAATGGAGAATGGCGAGAGATCCTGCTGGTTGGAAGACGAGAGCTGTTGTCATGTTCACACACAGCTGCAAGGAACTGAATCTAGTGTTGTGCCTTTACTGGTGCAAGATCTGTCCCCGTAGATCTGTGAGACCAGAGAGAGTACCACAACCTATATAGTGTGTGCCCCCCCCCACACCTAAGATAAACTTACAAGTTGGGCACAAGAAGATGTTAGCAACAATAGTAACCAAATGTATCAGCTTGAATAATATCCTGTGTGGTGATTTGAATAAGTATGGCCCCTATACACTCAGATGTTTGAATGCTTGGCCCACAGGGAGTGGCACTACTAGAAGATGTGGCCTTGTTGGAGGAAATGTGTCACTGTGGAGACAGGTTTTGAGGTTCCATATATGCTGAAGCCATGCCCAGTGTGACAGTTCACTTCCTGTTGCCTGTGGATCAAGATATAGAACCCTCAGCTCATTCTCCAGATCCATGTCTGCGAGCATACTGCCATGCTACTCACCATGATAATAAACAACTAAATCTCTGAAACTGTAAGTCAGCCCCAATTAAATGTTTCCCTCTAGAAGAGTTGCTGTGGTCATGGTGTCTCTTCACAGCAGTAGAAACCCTAGCTAAGACATCCTGTAATGAAATGGCCAGCATCTCTATTCTGGAACATGGGGTCATTATGAAGCCATGTAAGTTTTATTTAACAGACTCTGAGTCAGTCTGTTAAGTGAGATGGCGAAGTTCACATGAAGGAGAGTAGCATACACAGTCTCCATCCACTGGACAAAGAGATGAGTCTGGTGGGAGAAAACAAGATGATAGGAGATTTCTTCATACTGATTACAGTGATACATAATTAAAATGCATAGATTGTTTATTTCTAGCTTGGGAGCCAGGTATTTTTTCTCCCAGTTGAGCCTCTGATAAGAACTCCACCTGCCTAGTGCATAAAAGCAGAGATCCCAGGTAAGTCATACTTAGAAATTTCAAGACATTGAAATTTTTTAATGGTATGGAGCTATTCAGAGTGATTTGTTGCACAGTACTGAAAATGAATATATGCACCAATGCTTTAAAATGTTCAGGGTTCTAACACTTTCCTTTCTTCTCTATCTCTTGCTGTTTATGAACCCCTGATGGCATCATCCTCAAGAAGGAAGGTCCAGATGCCTGTTCACAACCAGAATCATTTGCATTCCAGGGAGGAAAACACTGGGAAAGAATTTTCAAAACTAATTATGGAAACAAGCAAACCTAAAGATTTTCTGCTAAGGTCTGAGATCACAGGACTTCCAACACCATTATCCCTCTGTTTCCAAAGGATTATGTCATTTAAACGGCTGTGCACACTGTAAAGCAGGGTTCACCAGGGTACAGTGGACCACACTAGTGCTTTGAGCTCTGAGTGCCCTTCACTGGAAATTGGGGTGCGTGTCAGTATATTAAAGCCCCAGGAAAAATAAGCTTCATGACATTTTTAAAATCTTGATTTCCTGGCCAGCTGTAGTGGTGCACACCTGTAATCACAGCATTTGGGAGGTTAACACAGGAGGATCACTGTAAATTCAAGACTAGCCTTGACTACATAGGGACTTGGAGCCAACCTGAGCTATATAGTAAGATCCTAGCTTAAAAACAAACTATAACTAAAGGATTTTCCAAATTGAACATTCTCTTTTGCGCATACTCCTGCTGATACTCACCTCGGCTCATGTTTCTATGAAGAAGTCCCAGGAAGTGCAGGGAACCACAGTGGGAATAGTTCTCTACTCATTCCCTACTCGTTAGCTGGAACTCAGCATCCCTGAGAACTGGATAAAATGTGTAATTCACTCTGGAACTGAGCTCTGCTCCTTGGAAAGGTCAAGTAGTTATTAGAGCACTTGATGATACAATATCCAGTTCATTCCAAGTAAGTTAGAGTGGCTTCCACACAGATTATTTTCCAAACACTTACATCAAGTTTACCGTGGGCAAGTCATCAGTTTGTGTGCTTTGGAAATGTCTCTAAGACACATATATTACCTGGCTCATCTTACAACATTCTTTTAAAATTTAAAATACAAAAGCAAGTGATGGATGGGCTTACAGGATTCTCCCAAGAAGCAACACAACTGCGGTGTGAACCTGGGTAGCACAGGTATAAAATTCAGCCCTGAGTCTCCTCCAAGAGGCTGCCTCCCAGAATACCAGTCTACAAAGGTTCTGAACAAATGATATATATTCGTGCAAAGTGCAGAAGGGATAAGTAGGCTGAGTGGGGACGGGGGGAGTCCTGTACAAGTTTTATATTTGTTCAATACTTTCGTTCCTAAGCAGAGTTTCACTAGGCCATCCAGGTTGGTCTTGAACTTATTCCTAGTCTCATGAGTGCTGGAGTGTAGATGTGTGCTATCATGCCTGGCTAGTCAGACTTCTTGACTTTATTTATTTGACTGTTTATTACCATTTATTTAGTTTTGTGGTGCTAAGGATACCACCCAGAGCCATGTACAGAGTTGGTGAGCATGCCATCCCTAAGTCACATCCCTAGGTCTGAGTCTATTTTTGCTCAACAATAAATCTACATACCATATGTATGTAGTAACACTGCTTTCTGCACATCCATGGCACCTCTGCTTTGAATTTGTCTCCTCAGTTCTTCCTCATCAGGAAAAGAATGGAGGGGGGGCACATTCCCTGACTTCATATCTTCTGCCTTCATTAATGTGACTCTGGCTGCATTGTGTCTGTGTGGCTGATCCAGAAATCTCTGAGGCTGAAACCTTCCGAATACCTAACAGACTGGCAAAGCCTTATATGCCCTGTGCTTCCGATATGAGAACACATCAAGCCAAAATCCCCACCTCCAGTTCAGGAACTCTAGCAAACCCGAAAAAAGAGTGAATTGTAGAACACCAGTTTCCCAGTGGGTAGCACAGGGGTCTCCTTACCTCTCTTGCTAATCTCCCAGGGTAGGAACATACTGGTGGGGGAAGACTGAAGCTCACTTCACCACCCTAGGGCATTATCAGGATTTAGGCTTCCTGCCATTCCCACTGCTTCCTCTCCACACCCAATGGATTTCCTGCAGTGCCCATAGACAGGGCAGGTGACAGTTTAAGCTTCTTCCTGCTGCTGTCCCCATTTCCCAGGAGCCAGCTGCAGCAAATGCCCCC